ATCTTTTTTTTCCAATTACTCATTTTAACTTACATCTAATTCAACCCCATTATCATCAATATTATTTATATATTTAAATAATATCAATCAATCATTCTTATATATCACATCAACCTTATTCACTATTTATTTACTCACATAATTTTAACTAACAATCACTTCACATCACCTATCTCCAAGCATCCCCTAGGTTCCCGCTAGGCGCTCGACCAGCGCCAAGCGCGTAGAGCGCCTAGTCGGGGCCTAAAAATTATAATAAATATATTGTTTTTATTTATTTTCACAATTTCACTAATAAAATTACAACTTATAATTAATAATTCCATACATCTAAGTCCCAATAATATTATTATTATTATTAATATAATATTATAATGAAAACAGAATAGCAATTAACAAACCACATGACCACAAGATTGTACATACTGCAATTTATAAAAATGTCCACATAATGTTGTATAAAGTGCAATGTAATGATATATAAAGTACAATACTTAAATTCTGGTATTTTATGTTTTTTTTGTGGGTATATGATGTGATGGGTAGTAAAGTATTACGTCACGCAGTTTTTTATATTTATATTGCGTAATCTTTTGGAAGGAGTTGTTGACATTAATTGTGGAGTGTAGTTATAAAGTGCAACATGTTGTTTTATAAAGTTCTACGTGCTGTTTTATAAAGTGCAATATTCTGCTATATAAAATGCACTAATTTATACCTTCCCATGTGTATCTGAAAACTAGTTTTAATCGATATAATTTTACATCTAATTAACCTAAATAAATAAATTATTTTTCATTTATTATTTTTATTACATAATTTATTTAAAATTTATAAATTATTTCAATATTTTATATTATTTTTACTTAACAATTTATTTGTTAGTTAATATATAAGCATAAGAAAGCATATAAAAATCATTTTTATTAACTTTCATCATTCGCAAATTTGACTAATGGGGTTAAATTGCTTTTTATTAACTTTCATCATTTACAGATGTGACCCATAGGGTTAAATTGAAATTTAATTAAATTATTAAAAATGCAAATAAGTCCCTAAACTTAATTTAATTTTTAAAAAAATGCACAATCCACAATTCAATTTCAGATCTTCACATTCTTGTCATCGGCGCCACAACGACTGAGACGTCGGACATGAAGGGATCTCCGGTGGCGTCAGACATGATGGCAAATCTGGACAAAGTTTCGTTCGAGCTTTTGAACGGACGGCAGAGATTTCCGGTGACTGGATGGTTGCGGCGACAACTGGTGTGCGATAGAACTTCCCGGTGGTGGAGACTTCGGAGACGGCTATTCGAAGCTCGACATTTCTGACAGCGAGGCACTACCTGGCAGACCTTCAGCAGTGGACGTTGGTCAAGCGTGTGCCGGCGGGAATCAGTGCAGCGGCAAAGACGTGAAGTCCCACTGAGGCTTTTTGTGCGTGTTACTGTGTGTGTGTGTGTGTGTGTGTGTGTGTGTGTGTATGTGTGTGTGACGGGTTGAGTCGGGCTGAGCAGCGACGGCGATAGACGGCGGGCGGCGGGCAGTGTCGAAGAGTTTCGATGTATTGCGACGGGCGTGTTGTGGGTGTGGTGTGTGTGAGAGAGTGTGGGGTGGAGTGGGGTAGTTGATACATGAATGGAGTAGGCGGGTAGTTGGCAGATGTGCATTAATATGTAGGGGGACCCTTTTTGGTTGTGGTGTAGAAATTACCACATTACCTTAATGAAGGTATAATTTTGACTTTTTTTAGCCATTAGATTATCCGATCTAATGGTTACTAATTTTTTTT